TGTCGTATAGTTTCCTCATTTGTCTCAAGTGTAGACGACATTGTTTCTGCAATCTTCTTCGTGGGAATTGCGCCCATAATGAGAACTACCTCTTCACTTAATAGAAACATGAACTATTAGACTTAAATGGTCTAACTTGGTAAAACTCTTCACTTAGCACTATTGATGGACTCTACTTAGAAACTCTAGAGATATTCAAAGTATTCTTAAATTATCATTCATTTTATTTCACTAATTTTTCCATCTTTCATCCATACTAAATAAAATCTACAAAATTTATATAAAATTGGGGCAAACTTGCTAATTTATATTAACACCAAATTAACCTTTTTCGGGAGAAGTTCTTCAGTGATTTAACCCCTAAACTTAATCCCTTAGTTTTACCGATCATGGATCTCATCATGTGATTTCTTGTCCTTTGTGGGTTTTCGACCGTGTCGTAATAGTCGCGAAACCGACATATTTAAAAGTAATGTCGTGACTATACGACAGACTCCCACCTTTTGAAAGACCGGCACCAACAACCTTTCACAGATCCTTAATAACTCCTTCGCTAATCTTGAACACCACCTATTGATTAAATAAATCTTTAGTCGCCATATATTAAATGTAATTGTCCTTCTATCCCTAGCTGAGGTGCGATTGCTAATATCTCCTTTATAGTAACATCTTTTGGCCTATATCTCATTATAGTTTGGATTGTTCTACACTCGTATCTATTGGGAGGTAGATTATATAGAAGACGGATGAAATCATCTCTAGACATAGTAACACAAGCTTCTAAATGGTCTCGGTACTCTTCTTCGTCTATTTCGTCTCTTAGAAATAATAGAGTCTTTTCCTTGCATTCATCTTTCCATGCATCAAAATTAAGAATGATAGCTTTGAGGAATTGAAGCATTTGGTTGTCACTATCAAATGTTGACATATCAATAGCAGCTTTAAACTCAATAACATCGTACTCTGATTCCGGCATATTTAATTCACGAAAACATACGATAAATGGACTTGAGGCACTCTCTTTTAGGACATCTGAGGAATTATCCTGATTTTATAAGCAACCTTCCAAGTGGAAATTTGTTTTTGCGGAGTATTTATGGTTATGAACCTGTCATGTTCTTATACTTTAGGTGTGGCATTTTTTGTGGTAATTATTGTTGTTAATCTGTTGGTTCCTCCTTACTTTAACTAGTGACGGATTGCTTGTGATCAACAGTTCGTTTGTAGCCTTATGGTTGTGATGGTTAATATTGTGGATCAATGCTGTCTTTTTGGAACTACTTAAAGCACTTACTTCATTGGCCTAAGATTACCTTCAAAATGTAACATCATACTATCACTTAACGGCGATAGCTATCCAACAATTTTAATTATTTATTTTTAGACCGGCTTTTAAACTTTCTCTAATAATAGATTGTGTTTGAGTACTAAATTGATTGCCAAGTCTAATTGTTACCAATTAAGGATTCTCATGTAATTTGATTTACCATTTATATTCGGACTCTCAAACCCAATTTTCTCCCTAATGGAACTTATTTTTTGGAACTTGTTTTAATTTTTCCAAATTTAATTTGCTATGCATTAAACTCTTAAAGTTAATTCATAAATTTTACCGATCCTTAGACATTTTTGAACTCTGTTGTCCTTTGTTGCCTTTAGCGGTGTCGCAATAGTCACGTAAATTATGTGTTTAGAACCAGTGAAGTGGCTATTACGGCAGACTCCCACCTTTTTACAGACCGGCCACCAATTATCTCTTCAACACCCCCGTCAACGGCCCCCCTACCGAATTTATCTTTAAATGAAACACCATCAATTGATAATTGACTCATAGTACCTTTTCGATTTCATTGATTGAATCATAGTACTATTTTGAGTTTGTTGTAGTACTTTCTAAATTGTTTAGTACTATAACTTAGCAGCATTTACTTGAATGGCATTGTTCCTTAACCGAGTGACCTCTTGTTTGTCAAAAATTTGTAAAACAACAGCCCATGTATATTCCAGAACATTAGCATACAAGCTAATTGACTGATTAGTACTTAATGTAATTATAACTGAGGTTGAAGTCATGGACAAATTCAAACTTATTTTGGTGTAACTCATTTCATTCAAAAAGAGCATTACCTTGATCACTTTTGGTAGTTGATTCTTTTGGTGAGGGATTGATATTTGTGATTTCGCTGATTTCTCCTTGTCTTAATTGATTTTGGATTGTTGTTGATCAGCATATTTTTTGTTGTGGTTTTATTTATTTTATGATTCATTAATTTCATTAGTTGTTGTTGTTTTGATGTTCTGTTTGTGAATTTGACTCTTTAGCTTTGGTGGTTGTGCTCATGGAACTTTACCAACATCAACCTTGTTAGCTTTGTCCTCGTTCTCTTCATCAGACTTCTCCAAATATGATTGGTTGTTTGTCATGAATGAATTTAACATTGACTTATTAGATCTGAATCAAACATTGAATTAATTAATTAATTGAGAACTTCTTAGCAATGCATTTAAGCTTTGTTACATTGCTCTTTGAAACCTCATAGTAATATTTAAATTAACATCATATTATTTCTTTAAATTATAGTTTTCCAACAACTTTATTTAATTATTTAATTTTAGACTGACTTTTAAACTTCCTCCAATATTGGATTTATTGCCAAGTCTATTGATTACCAATTAAGGATTCTCACGGCATTTTATCTTCCATTTATTTGTGGAATGATTTCAAACCTAAATCTTCTCCCAATTGGAATCCATTTTCGGAACTCGTGGTAATATGTCCTAATTTTAATTGAATTTGAACTAAATGAAGCATTCTAAATGTACTCTAAACCCACATATTTGTGCACGGTCTGTGGTTGAGCTCACTTCATCATGTCAATTTATATCTCGTTGCAACATGTATAAATTTGGATAATAACAATATTATCAACTTTTCTCCTAGGAATTAAAATTTTAATTTGTTTCAGATTTCCCTAAGTACCACAGTTTTTCTCTGAAACTTTAATTGAATTTCATGAAATCTTAAATCTTCGGCATAAGTGAATATAACCATATTCTATTAAACTTTGAATCACCCATTGCCTATAAATGATCAGGCCTCTGGATTTTTGTAGTCTCCTGGTGGGGAAGCCAATTAAAACCCTGTCGTATAGTTTCCTCATTTGTCTCAAGTGTAGACGACATTGTTTCTGCAATCTTCTTCGTGGGAATTGCGCCCATAATGAGAACTACCTCTTCACTTAATAGAAACATGAACTATTAGACTTAAATGGTCTAACTTGGTAAAACTCTTCACTTAGCACTATTGATGGACTCTACTTAGAAACTCTAGAGATATTCAAAGTATTCTTAAATTATCATTCATTTTATTTCACTAATTTTTCCATCTTTCATCCATACTAAATAAAATCTACAAAATTTATATAAAATTGGGGCAAACTTGCTAATTTATATTAACACCAAATTAACCTTTTTCGGGAGAAGTTCTTCAGTGATTTAACCCCTAAACTTAATCCCTTAGTTTTACCGATCATGGATCTCATCATGTGATTTCTTGTCCTTTGTGGGTTTTCGACCGTGTCGTAATAGTCGCGAAACCGACATATTTAAAAGTAATGTCGTGACTATACGACANCCGGAAACGGAGCAGATGAAACCGACACCGGCGTAGGATGAAACTACATGCAGGAACTTTATGGACGGGTTTAAGGCACACCACAAACCCGATACGGCCGTAAGAAAAAAAGCTAAGACTCGTAAAATTTAGTATGAGGAAATGAACTTTGTTGAAATTTCGCACAGATCCGGCATATAAAATCAGCTATTGAAAAATTATTTTTTTGCACAATTCCTGCAAATACTGTTAAATTTTTTAAGTTTGCCTAGTGCGGGACTGCACCCCTGCATATTATGATTTCGTTACACAAAATCCATTTGCGGAACTGCCCAATGTAGTATATCCAGGTTGCGTCATTCGTTTTCGGCTATTGTCTATTCGGGCATATGGCCGATGGTACAAAACTGAAATCCGGAGGGCCGATAGCACAAAGCCGGAAAAATCCCACTATGCCCGTTGGCTCGTAAGATTCAAAGCACTTTTGTATTTTATATGTACTAACTTTTGACAAGCCGTCAACCTACTGAAAGGAGTGCAAGCACTCAGTCTAGGCTTACGGCACACGATCTTTTTCTCACACGGCTTCATGAAAGCCTGCCCCTGATATTCATACAAGGTCATTCTGAAATCGGAGAGCCTCGTTTTTGATGATTAAATTATATTATGGGGAAATGACTAAGGAGATAAAGATGGAAGATTGAAGTTACTTGTGGGGGCATGTCCAAAGATATGAAGCAACCGGCTAAAGATGTTTATTTCGTTGGTTTTGTTGATGAATACATGCGAACTGAACTGGACCAGTCCCCAATCTCCGTGTGAAGAAGGAAGATAGGGACAAAATTCGGTAGTACAGAAATACTGAGTTTGATGGAGTGATCGGTGATTAGAGGGAACACGTTCAAGATGGCTAGCAAGCTCTCATGTGTGTATCGTTCCATCATAGTCGCTGAAGGCACGTCTTGACCTACTTCTTCTTGGCTTTGCCCCTGGCTTAGCAGATGCTTAGCCAAGTGGGGACCTGTACTGTAATAGTGCCATCATGCTCGTAGTAACAGGAGTGATACTGACCCTTTCTATCATAGGGACAGCTTAGCAACTTGCGTTTGCTGTGGCCATGAGAAGGTCGAAATACTGCGTTGGGTCGCACTGGACGCTGCATGTAGCCAAGTGTCTTCCGTTCTGTTACGCTGGTTGTTCCCAGTGATAGCTCAAATATCAGACCTCAAACCACTCAATCATAGTTAGCTACGTGGAGTCCAGCACGGTATGCTGCCGATCAAGCTGGAGTGTGTCACACTAGGATAGAATGTGCCTTGGTGGGTCCGGACTGGTAGGACCCCTACGCGAAGGTGCGGTTTCTCAGTCGAGTAAGACCCTCGCTGTTGTGCTGGTCTAATAAGTACCTCTTGAACTTCTGTGCTTGGCAATGCTTGATAATTTTGGCATAATTTAGGGTGAAATTTTGTGTCATCGTCTTTTTTGTTGTACGCCGAACGGATACAAGTCGGGTGGGTATATTACAAGCGAGAACGTTTGGTGCAATTCAGTTGCGACTTGTTATTAGCAGGAATGGATCTCAGAACCGAAAACACATCATTTATATTGATTTAGTTGTGCTGATAATCATGTAAAGTATGCCCTGCTGGACCAATTACTTGGGAATATTCAACATACTTTTGGTTTTCAGGACGATAATTTGGGAGGTCTTTCCGAGCGCAAAATTGTTTATGGTCTAAGAGGGTTGTTGCAAACCCTGATTCGAAATGGCTACCCATCAGTAGCTAAGAACAGAGAGTAACGATACAAGCTATTTATTGATAGAAATATTAGTTCTTAAAAGGGCATATCTAACATATATACAATCAAGTCTCTAATACCTGCTGTCGCGCCTTATGTGGATATTTTTAACTTGACCGGCCAAGCATATTTGCTTTCATCACACTAAATTACCGAAGTTCAACTTCTTTGGTTTTATTTTCATTTGCGCTTTGGACAATTTGATAACCCTTCTTTTACCAGTCTTATTATTTATCATTTCCATATGGGTATCATAGTTTACCAGTTTGTGATTGGAATCTATAAACGGATTGCGCTCCTTCTGTATTGGATAGTTTGAAATAGTTGCATTTTCTAAGAACGGGTTCAGTGGTCGGTGTCTTGGAAGTCTTTTGGCTTCTTCAAATGTGGTTATTTCGTCATTTTCATATTCTTCTTCCGAGGAGGAAAAATCATTATTCGCAGATTTGCCGTACCATTCATCTACGGTTTTGTCATCAATAATTTGTCTTCCAGGAGTGTTGGGAGTACTGTTCACAGCATGATCCAATTCTTCTTCAAAGTTCATACTTCGACTGAGTTTAGCTAGTGACTCGATGTCAAATTTTGGTGGTACAAGAGAGACTGAATGTAATGTCGACCCGGCTGCTTTTCTTCCCGATCCGACCGTTGAAGGAGTAGGCAACAAAAGGCCAAATGTGTTCTTAATATTGCTTCCTTCATCATCTAATCGTAAGATGTCATGACTCTTTTTCTTCCTTCTGAAGGGGGACGTGATTTTGTGTTCTGGAGTTGTGGGATAAATTACACATCTAGACTGTTTCTGCACTGGAGTTCGCTGGATATAATTGGATGGGAATATCAAAGAGAGGGGCTTCTTAGTTGCAGTCAGTGGAGTTGGCAAATGATTAATCTGGAGGAAAGGATCAGGGGTTTTCGGAATAGCATTGGGCATCCCCAGTTGTTCGCAACCATTGATTCTTGGAATACGTGCCTCCCTTGATTGTCTTGGTGGAGTCTGGGGCGTCAGTGGTATCATAGTGAATTCGATCTGTTAGGGTTTAATGTAAAGAGTGTGGTTGAAAGGTAAGTGAAATGAAGAGGTTGAAGGAGTTTTTTTTCACAAGGATCTATTTTCATACACGTACTTAATTTGAAGTGAAAGGAGGTTTCACATGACGCGTCCAATTTTTGTTCCGTCTGAAAGAAGAAAAAATAGAAATGGCTGGCGTTGCAATAGTGGGAGAAAGACTCGGCAGCAGACATCCCACAATCACTAGTTGAGACAATGCAGATGCTCATAGTTTCTCAAAATTTTTGTTATTTAGTCTGTAGAAACAAATTAGCACAAAATTTAGCTAAATTCTATCTGGTCCCACTCTCTAGTCTCAATCCTGACTACGCCTGATAGATAGTCTCTATACCTTGATACAACGGTCCTCCAGTCTCATGATCAGCTGCAGCAGATTGACTCGGACAAAGGCATTGATGAAGGCAGTGATAGCTACGTTGGTGTGGCTCTTCTCCGTTTTCTCTTCTGGATGTACCAGCAGAAGGGCCCCTACATCCTCAAGAGGTTGGCCGCGACTAGATCTGCGCTGGGGTAAGGTCTCCCCACCAGTCACTCTGGTCTATGATCGAGATGGAGTCGTACAGCTCAAGAGCCATACTACTAGGGCTGGCCAACATCCTATCAGGGCACCTACTAATGGTGATCCTAGGAGGACTGGTCCTGCGCGTGATGAGTACGTCAACCGTAGAGCTACTAGGAGGGTTCATCCCGATCACAGGGGTAGTAGCGATACTGTGCCTAGAGTTCTGGATCTCAGTGATGCAAGCGTATGTGTTCAGCATCCTAATGATCGGGTACATCACGGACAGTGTGAACCTGTACTAGAGAGAGGGGGAACACTGACTTACGCGATAGCTGATCAGCTGTCCTGTTGATCCTAGCAGTGGGTACTTACTGTTGGCCGATCGCCCTGCTAGGAGGGTTCCGAACACACCTATACTGCTGATGGTGAGTGCTAAGATAAACCCATAGCTGTGGTCTAGCACTTCCACGCCCGGGGCGAACGATATCGTTGCTCAGCATTCCGTTTTTCTAACCTGCCTTGGCCAACAGATCCATCCCTTTCAGATCCTAAATCTGAAGCGACAAGGAATTTAACGAAGACCGTAAGGTTCGGAATCAATTGAAGTTCACAGTAATAAAAGTTGCATTCGTGAGACTTCTCAAAACTTATCTTGGAGAGAGTTTCTCTCACGATAACCGATTATGCGAGATCCACAGTTTGCAAGAAGGATCCTAGCAAGCACTAGGATGGTATATTCCAGGTTGAGCTCACTTGGGGGGGGGGGGCTCTAATGCTAAGACGTGCTTGCATTTTTCCAATATAAAAAAGTAAGGAAATATCGCATACGAATAAGTAGTATACGATATTATCAAAAGCGGTCGTCAAACTAGCGTCTATTGATAGAATTCGCTTCAGGGGTCCTAATTTTGCTTGTCTTGCTGTTGAGCTAAGCATAAAAGCGAAGGTGTGTATGATTTGCTCAAAAAAATCAGACACCCGAAAAACTACGTTGTCCAAAACTCCTACTTTAATCACTAACTTTTACTTTTGATAATCATCCTATTGCTGTAATAAAACTAGAAGAATCAATTATGCCAAGATTAGAAGAGTCCGAAATCAAGAAGTATTGGGAGATATTTCAAGGATTGAAGCCTGTAGATAATAAAGTCACTGGAGACAAGGTGGCACCAGTGTTGAAAAACTCACGGTTAGCCAATCCACAATTATCTAAAATATGGGAATTATCTGATATTGATAACGATGGGAAGTTAGATTTCGAGGAGTTTTGCATTACTATGAGACTAATCTTTGATTTAGTTAATGGTTCGATTAAGGATGTGCCTCAAGAGTTACCAAGTTGGTTGATTCCTGCGTCTAAACATGCCCTTATTGAAGCAAATAAAGCAATTAATAACAAAGGGAACCTCGCAGTTGGAGAATGGGATGACGATGATGACGGCTTGAGTGACGATTTTGATTGGTATATATCTCCAACGGATAAGTCAACATATGAAACTATTTATAATTCCAACTGTGATTCATTTGGAAGAATCAAGTTTGAATCATTACATGCACTATACGGTACATTGGCAAATGTCCCGAAAAGCGATATCTCCTCAGCGTGGAACTTGGTAAACCCTAAGTCATTCGAGACCATTGATAAAGATCAAACCTTGGTTTTCTTGCATATATTGAATCAAAGAGAAAACGGCAAAAGAATACCTCGTGGTGTTCCTGCAAGTTTACGTGCGACCTTCTCTAAGGAAGTGCCCAACTATGATCTTAGTGCCCAGTCTCAGCCACAATCTACCACAGCTACGCAAGCATCCAAACGAAGTTTTGCGGAGAATTATCTTAGCACCATCGGACAAGGTTCCGCTATAAGAAATAAAGGAACAGACTTCTCGTCCACAGAAGGAACAGACTGGGAGGAAGTTAGATTAAGACGCGAGCTTGCAGATTTAGAAAAGCTATTAGATAAAGTTCAAAGCGGGGCTCATTCAAGTCAGAAGGAGAACGAAGATAACATGTTGATCAAGTACGAGTTTGAACAATTATTGAAGTATAAGCAAGATAAATTAAATCTGGGTATGGCGAATGGAAGAAATGCTGACGATTTAACTCAAGTTCAAACGGACGTGCAAGATATTCAAAATCAAGTCTATTCATTAGAGCAGTTCTTAGACTCAAAGAAGCAGGAATTACGTCAACTAAACCAGCAAATTGATGCATTGCACAAGTAAAAGGCAAGCGCTTTTTTTCATTATCGTTTATAAACTAAATAGGATTTATCCGTACAAGTAATAAAGACAAGCTATATAACTTCACTGCAAAGAAAGCAGAATAAATAATATAAAGGGTACCATTGGGTGATGCATCTATTTCTTTTGCTCGCCTTCCTTTTCTGGCTCCGGTTCTGGAGTTGGCAATTTGAAGGCTTCTGGAGTGAAATCTTTGCCTTCACCCACAGGTTCCCAAACAGCTGAGCCAACAGAAAAATTTCTCCATGCTTGAGTCAATTCTAATGGTTCATAAACAACCCTTTTTTTCTCCTCATCGTATCTTACTTCGGTATAACCAGTGGTTGGGAAATCTTTTCTTAATGGGTGACCTTCAAAGCCGTAATCGGTCATAATTCTTCTTAAATCTGGGTGTCCTTCAAAGAAAACCCCAAACATATCATAAGTCTCTCTTTCAAACCAATTTGCACCATGAAAAATTGGAGTAATAGAAGGAACTGGGCTGGTTTCATTTGCGTAAGTTTTGACTCTAATTCTAGAATTATGTCTAACAGATAATAAGTTATAAACAACATCAAATCTATTTGTTCTTGAGGGATAATCTGCAGCCGTAACATCCATACAAGATTTAAATTGTGCTGAAGTATGGTTCTTTAAGAAAACCATAACTGGTCTAAGTGCAGATGGAGCAACGTAGATAGTCAATTCATCTTTCCAAACTGAAAATTGTTGGATATACTTTGGTAAACATGCCATAATATATGTTCCGAATTTATGCAATTCTTCAATTTGAACTTTATATTTCTCGGTCGGATTAACTAATGGAACATAGTTTTCTGTACTCGGCTTCTTCCTTGCCAAAAAGTTTAAATCAACTAAGTCCTCTTGAGCACGGCACGAGGTAACTGAGAATGCTCTCAAGGTACCAGATAAACTTCCACGACTTATTAATCTTGATGCTCTTAAAAATGATGATCTGGATATCATAATGCAAACTAATTTCCCTTTATATGTATATAAATGTAGTAGATATCTTCAATAACGGTTCAAATTATTCACAATGATTAGAGGTATTGAAGTATACCGTAAAGCGGTCTCCAATATTTAAAATTTTTCGCAGACCAAGTTCTTTTTTCTATGTAATTGAAAATTGAGGAACTGCAATTGGAGGAATTCTGCTGATTGGTAGTGCGAAACACAATATCAACACCGTCGAGATGTGTCGGGGAGGAGTTTACGTCTTATCTTTCTCCCCCCCATACTTTAAAGCATTAACTATTGCATTTGGTAATGCTTTTTGGAAGAACAAAAGATAACTATCTCATATTGAAGTTAATTGCGAACAATCTTTCTTTGCAAGCTCATTGCATCTATTGGCAATGAGAACGATTAAACTATGTATTAAAACGTAAATAACTATACAAATAATATATCAACCAAATACAAGCATATTCATTATACGGATCGCGAATTCTTTGTATTGGAATTACCAGCAGTAGCACCAGAAGCGATCCCACTAGTGCTATTGACTTGCTCTCTAGGTTCCAAATTCAACGAGATTTGATATTGTTCTTCAATGGGAGGGCATTTTTCAAACCAACCATCAAGGTACCGTTGAATTTCATTCACTTCTGTAAAATTATAGCCAATGGTTTTGAACCTATCAATCCCACTAACAATTTCACAAGTTTTTGCACGTTTGGCAAAGTTTATCATCCGGGTTCTATTGATTAAGCAGTCTGGATTACCATGATAAACAAATGTCAAGTCAGACAAGTAAACCCCAAAAAATGGAACACAAGGTTCAGACCCAATGAATTTTAGTACATCTCGATATTCATTAAAGTTTCTTGAAGAATTCATTAACTTATTCATATTTTGCAATTGAGACAACGAATCAGCACTGACATATTTCCATGTTTTCCTTAATCGATGGATTGGAGAAGAATACAAAGCCGAAATAATGGCGGTCATGGATGAAAAGTTATTGTACTGCCTACACTTTTCTGCCACTTGGATGAAATAACGGATAATCTGAACACGCTTTTTAGGATCGGGCTTTCTCAAGATCATATATGCAACAAAATTAGTGAGCTGATTAGAAGCCTTAATAAACGCAGTAATGCTATCAATGTTCTCATTCAACCCAGATTTCTTTCCCCAGACTTTTGCTAGACATGCAAATTTGGTTATTTTGCAATACAATCTAAATTCACGTAAAGTCAACTGTCTTGCTAATTCAACATAGTCAATATCCAATAATCGGACTTTTCTTCCTAAAGATGACCCTTTTGTTAATGGAGCTGGTGGTTTTAAGTCAGGTATAACTGGTTCTCTCTCGACATAAACCTGCTGTCCATTTAACAACTTGTTTAGATCATTAGCCAACATCTTTCCAATGGAATACGATTGAACAGGGGCTGATCGGGCAAAAGCCAACCACTGCTTTATGATTTGCTCATTGTAGTATGACTTTGACCAATGCTTCTCCACTAATAACTTCATTATATTCATTACCCTCAATCGAATGGGGTTTTGTTTCTTGGAAATCCATATGTTATATTCTTCATAACTTAACCCCTCGGGAGCTTCTAAATCAAATCTACTGATCAACAATACAATTAACTCACCCAACGACATCATAGACGCAAAGGTCAACAAAAATACTTGATTAAACGAACTGTCAAACATATCATGATGGGTCAAATGTGCCACAAGGGCTTCTTTACTTCCTCCTTTGATGTTTCCCTTAACATCTAACAATAAATCATATTCGTCGTCACCTTCAAGATACCATGCCACATCGGCTTCTTTTTTGTGTCCACCGCTGTAATATGAATGTTCTTCAGATTTTTCAGTCAGCATGGTGTTATTACGTTCCATCACTAATAGCTGAACATCAAAATCATCGTGCATTACTCTTGTTGCATAATTCAAGATAGTGTCTCTTTCTTCAATCAATTGCTGAATAATGGTCAACATCTTGTCGCATAGTTTAATTCCATCCGACAAATAATCTGATAATAGCGTGTCTGGATTGAGGGAAATTGCTTCTCCCTTCCTATGGTTGATTTTTTCCAAGAGAATGTTCGATAACAACAACGCGGCCTTTTCTGTGGGTGCTTTCAAGATATCACGATTGTAAAACAAGGGATCTTCATCTTTCAAGCCCTTGAATACTTCCGGATCTTCTAAAGTCAAAGACTGTGTGGCCATCATGATCCTGAGAATCAAATCATGAAACTCTTGCTTCAAGTAAAAAAATTCTAGAACAACTGGATAATCAAAAGTCAACTTCGAGTTGACAGATGGGCTATCTTGCATCTTTGTTATATCATCTGAAGATCCTATATTTGAGTTATCCCCTGGCTCGTTCTCTTCATTGGAAGCATATCTCTTAATTAGACAGAAAACAGTAAAATCAAACGACTCCACTATATCAATCATGGAGCTGGAATTATAAAGATATTTATAAATTAATCGCAAAATTTGTGTATCTCTATCATTCTTCAACGATTCATTATAATAGTCTAAATCCTGAACTTTCGGATCAAGGAATTGCAATGCTTCATTACTCAATTTGATCATTTCTTCCATATATTGATATACAGAATCATATGCTTGATGGTCTACCACAATCTTTGTATGATATCTGTTCTTTAGATCGTCACCACTGACGTTTAGTACAGGATTGTTTGTTGTAAAAAATGGATTACACCAATTACCTCCATTAAACTCATCCATGAGAAATCTTGGATATGATTGAGGCAATATATCGTATCTATCGTCACCTTCATCTTCAGATGCATCAGACGAGTCATAATCGGACCGTTTTACTCTTTTCCCACGACTTAATTTAAGGAAAATCTTTATTAGAGCATTCATATTTTTCCTCAATTTCTCGATTTCAAAATCCAATTGATCCATATACGTCACAAAATCATCTCTATTTCCGTCTTCTCCAAGCTTGATTCCCTCTAACTTATCGTAGAAATTTGCGTCATCTCCCGTTCCGTGTACACCAGCGGCGACTGACGACATAGGTGAAGCATTGCAACTAGCGGCAGATTTATTTAACTTGGATATGTTGAAAGTGAACAATTGATCATCAGTTGACCCTAGGGAATGATGTAATATACTTAAATGTAAGATTCCGTTTATATAAATCTGAGAATAGCATGCACCTATCCTTTTCAACTTACGCCTCACAGATCCTTCATACTTTGTATCAACAAAATCATCTTGATTTAATCTTGAAGAAGAAAGCACTATTGATAGTAACTTATTTAATCTTGCAAAATGTGTTCCAAACAATTGCCTATTCTGTTCCTTCAAAGATTTTGTAGTCAAATCTAAAAGATAATTGAATTCATCTCTTAATTTAGTCCAATTGCTAACGTCCGTGATATGTTTGTAAAACAAATTATCCATAGAAAAGAAAGGTCTGTTGAAATGATGGTAAGACGATCCAGAACTCTGGGTTGCCACTGATGAGTGTGAGTCACGTTTTAAGGCTTCAAAATTCGTTGATGAGCCAGCTCTCTGACTTAGCATACTATCACTACGCTGTTGTGAACCTTGTATTTGAATAATTGAGGCGTCAGTAATGGTTTCGTTATCTGGGTATTGAAAATTTGGAGACATGTCATTCACATCAAAATGGGACATCGGAATTGTACTGCAGTATGTATTCAATTGTTGACAGTAAAAGATATAGTCACCTTTCGTTGTAATTCGAGGAATCCAAGTAAGGCTGTGGTGATGAATTTCTTTATACTCTTGAATTAATCTTTCTGCTTCCTCAACTTCAACCGGAGTAATTTCTTCATTCAAATCGTTTGCTGGTAATGTATGTGATATAGATGAGTCCTGAAACGTGGGAGTATCAAGTTCTACAGTATCGACTGTCACGGTTGAATCTCTTGCGCCCTGGGTATCGAGAGTACTAGAATCATGAGCTTGAGGTTGATGATATTGATGCGAAGCATGTAGATGTTGTTGTTGCTGTTGTTGTTGTTGTTGTTGTTGTTGACTATACTTTGAATCGGATGGAATACTAGTTTCTGAACTAGCAAAACTTACCACTGAGTTCTTTCTTGTGGAATTGGCAGGGCTATTTTTTTCAGAATCACCCAAATTTTTCTGTAAAAGATTTGTAAATGATGGAATTAAAACATTTGCTGCTGTATTTGCTGCTGTAATTGAATCTAATTCTTTATTGTCTTTAAGCTTGTTCAAAACCGGTTGAACATAGTTAACAGATCTGACATAATTATGTGGGAACCATCCTCGATGCCACTCTCCAGATGCACCCATGAGAACCCCATCCCACCATCCAGTCCCTGATTTTGATAGAACATATATGGTATCACCTAAATTCAAAGGTAAATGTGAAGGTTGAGTTCCTGGGAAATCATATAAAGCAATGACTGTATCTAAATGCTTTACGGGTTCATCGGCCGTTGTGTCATTATCATGAGGTGTTATTACGTCTGGCGCTATTTCATCAATATATTGACTAGCCATTTGGATCTGTTTGCTTTCGTTTGGTAACTCTTCTTAGTTGGGTGTTTTCGATTAAATGAATTCTCAATTATTCCTTCAGTATTCAATTTCTAGTTTGTTCAAGTTGTGTGTGGTTGTTGCATTTAAAAAAAAATGAATCGTTTCTAGAGAAATGTTTTTTTTTTTTCCCCCTGATGAAATTCGTTACAAGTTTTAGATTTTCGATTGATTTATTATGAACTTTCTAAACTAATTAGAATTTGTTGGGTTTAAAAATTGACGAAGAATTAAACAAACCAAACGATTGATACTAAATTTGCTTATAGCTATCTGTATAAATATCACTATTAGAAAGTAAGCATGTCATTATTCTTTAAGGCTCCATTAGATATTGAGATCAGATTGGATAATGAAGAATCAAGGAAACATATAGATGTAAAAACACCGCAAGGTAGATTGGAAAAACTACCAATTTATAAAGATGGAGAATCAGTGAAGGGAGTTATTACATTACGAACGAAAGAGGGTAAAAAAGTAGAACATCTAGGGGTAAAGGTACAGCTATTAGGATCAATTGATACTAATATTGATGGTATAATATCTTCGGATTTCTTATCATTGGCCACTGAGTTATCAGCTCCCGCCCAATTAACTCATCCAGAATCTTATCCATTCGAATTTAAAAATGTTGAAAAGCAATATGAAAGTTACAGAGGGAAAAATGCTAGATTAAGATATTACGTAAAAGTTACTGTATTGAGAAAATCATCTTCGGAAATAACTAGAGAGAAAGAGTTATGGGTGTTTCATTATGTGTCTCCTCCACCACCATCATCTATGTCAACATCGATTGCAAATGCATCTGGCAATACCACTGGATCTCAGTCAAATACTTCGGTTTCAGCAACACCATCAAAAGAAGCACATAGTGTTAAAATGGATGTTGGAATTGAAGATTGTTTACATATTGAATTTGAATATTCCAAATCTCGTTTCTCTTTGAAGGATGTCATAATTGGAAGGATTTATTTCCTATTGGTAAGATTGAAAATCAAACATATGGAACTATCATTAATTAGAAGAGAAACGGTCGGGGCCCCTCCAAATCAAATTACAGACAGCGAAACCGTTGTCAGATTTGAAATTATGGATGGAGCTCCAATCAAAGGAGAAACAATCCCAATAAGATTGTTCTTAAATGGCTTTAACTTGACTCCTACTTATAGAGATGTCAATAAGAAATTTTCCACTAGAACTTATTTATCACTTGTTTTGATTGATGAAGATGCTAGAAGATACTTCAAACAGAGTGAAATAATACTTTACAGGGATCAATAGAGTGAACCTTCTTTTCTGTCTATAACTTATATAGCTGTAATTTATTTCATTCTGGTGATTAATAAGCTGTTATTATTTTGGTTAAAGCCGCCTCCCAAAAAAAAAACAGACCCAATTCTCGGCTCCCTTCCTCATCGACCGAAATGAGAACAATTGGTGTGGTAGTAGGTTACACATCTGATATGGGCTAAACCACAATTACGACCGCTGCAGTAATTTAGATGATATAGAACGCCTTTATCAAAAGAAATTTCGCATATTGTTCGAGTAGATTTAATAGACAAGAATTAATATTGTGTTAGGATAAAATAGAAATATGAATCAAGGTGGAACGCCATCCACGGCTCTGACACGAATATCATTCAACTTATTTGCAAATAACGTAATAAAAAATGATTCATATACTGAAACTCTTCCTGAATTCGCTTATACCAACCAAAAGAAGAATAGCAATCCAACGGTAACAATATCAACCGCCAGTATTCGTGCCATAATATACCAGTTACAAGCATTGTATTTACGTACACCTGTGAAATTATTTCGACCTTCTCGATTTGATTACTTAGCACAAGTTAGAGAACTAGCTGATAGACATGATAATATTTCCGAAAAGCCATATCGATTCAGAACTCATTCTTCAATTGGAATGTTAATTAATGTAGTTAAGAAGGAAGGTTGGAGATTTATTCCTGACCAAGTACTTCCTCCATTAATAGCCAATTCAGCAACTGGGTTGATACTATATGGTACCTACTTGGCAACGTTAGATCATTATAATAAGCAACATCACTTTCACACCCAACCTATGCATTTCAATTGGTATTCTCCGATTGACACTTGGAGAGCTGGATTTGTAGCTGGGGCAGTTCAATCATTGGCTGCTGCACCAGTTGATGCGATCTATACAAGACTGACAGTTTCAGAAATGTTAGAAGGAAAGCATCAAAATCTTTGGTATTTTGGATTACATAAACTAAAAGAAATTGGGGTGTTTGGGGTGTTTGCAGGGTATGGATTCTCTTTGATCAAAGAATCACTTGGGTTTGCATTTTATTTTTCAACCTTTGAGATTATCAAGACCGAAGGATATAATTTGACTTATAATATGATACAATATTATAATAGAAGCGAAGAAATTATCAAAAGAAAATTACAAAAAGTTTTTAAGTGGGATGAAGATCAAATTGATGAAAAGTTAGAAAGATTGGAACGATATAGACTGGATAGAATTTTAAAATCGACATTCATATTACTTGCCGGAGCCTCTGCAGCATTTTCATTATTGGCTATACAATACCCACTATCAAAGATTCAAAAGATTCATCTTTCAAGATTGGAAGCGTTGGATGTTTATACTTCTTCAAGGCATATGTCAAAACCATTCGTGAAGCTATATTATAATTCATATATCGAAACCTTCCACCAGGTTTCTCGAATGAAGCAAAAGGCAAATGTTGACTGGTTCCAAGCAGCATACAAAGGGTTTGCCCGAAATGCTTTAACAACAATTCCAGCCACCTCGGTGGCATTGTTGGTATTTGAAATCATGCGAACCAAATTGGCTGACGATTTCGATGATAATCAGTTTTTACAACCATAGAAGTCTATCTTTGTACATATATATACATGTAGAGTGAGTAGAATTGTTTATTTTATTTATTATATTTATTTACAATTTACATTAACCGTCTATTACGAACGACCAGTTTTCTCTAAATAAGCTTTCCAACCCGCATCTCTATACCTCTTACCTTCAACATCAGGATCTCTTCCTTTACCAAACAATCCTCTTCCAACAATAATAACATCGGTACCAGTGCTTATAACTTCATCGACGCTTCTATATTGTTGTCCCAACCCATCTCCTTTATCATCTAAACCAACACCAGGAGTCATGACAATCCAATCAAACCCTTCGTCTAACCCTCCCATATCTCTTTGAGCAATGAATCCAATTACGAATTGTTTGTCTGATTTAGCAATTTCGATAGTCTTCTCTGAATATTCACCATATGCTAATGAACCCTTTGAAGATAATTCAGCCAACATTAATAAACCCCTTGGTTGATCGGTGGTTTCTAATGCACCTTGTTTTAAACCTTGGACGACACCAGTACCAGTAACACCGTGAGCATTTGTGATATCGGACCATTCAGCTATTTTGTAAACACCACCAACATATTGTGATTTAACAGTATTTCCAATATCAGCAAATTTACGATCTTCAAAAATCATGAAATTATGCTTTTTTGACAATTCTAGTAATGGTACAATAGTACCGTCATAAGAAAAGTCATCGATGATATCAATGTGAGTTTTGACTAAGCAAATGTAAGGGCCCAATTTATCTATTAAAGTTAAGAATTCATTGGTAGTCCTAACATCAATTGAGGCACATAAATTGGTTTTCTTGGATTCCATTAAGTTAAACAAACGTCTGGCTACTGGAGATGGATGAGCATCTGCTCTTTCGGTATATGACCTTGTGTTTACCATATCTGTGTTTGCTTCTGTTTGGCCGTTGGGGTTCTTCACTTAGATCATCGCAAACCTCTTGAAAATTTTGGGATGCGGTTCTTCGAGACTTTGGATGTCGTAAACATTGTCGCGACAATTGCTTCTCTTGTCGTAAGAAATTAATAAATAAAATATATACTAACACTCCATCTATTAAGATATCAATAAACATTTTCAAAAACTATATAGCTCCTGAAATGTGAACGAATCATTTATTTTCAGATACGAAATGTTATTGTCTTAAATTAACATCTAGAATTACTAAATAGTAAATAAAATTAATTACACATTAAATATTACGTAAAAAAATACCCAAAATTTTGCAGCCATGTCAATATAACAAGAATCCACTATTTTCTTGATATTATTGATTTGATCAGTTACTTTGAAGAAACATTTAGAGAAGATTCGCCTGAAATATCTACTAAAGTTTCCCTAATTAGAGATCTGTTCCTAAACTCAATGACTGATTTCACCTAGTTAAACGCATCCAGAAACACCCAAGTATGCATATTTGGGCGTCGAAAGAACAAAAACAGATTCATCCTTAACAATGTCACTTTCCTGCGTTTAGTACAACAAGGTTGACTGTTGATTGTTTGACTGTTTGTTGATGTCAAATTGAAAATCTATAATTGTGAACTAGTATTACAAAATATATAATTTAAAAAGATACAACCTTTTCTTTCTTCTATAATAGCTACATATAATTATGTCCGAGTATTACCTATAAAACTACTGCTGTTGGCTTTTTCCCTGCTGTTCAGAGTTATCAGGAAGAAATTCGTCATCAAGCTGAATCTGTGTTTCAGCCTCTTTCTCTTTTTCTTGTACATCACTTGCATCTACCGGTTCTCCATTGAATTCCTTTTTCAATTCTGGATAGATAGCACCAATTATTGCCCAACTACTTTTCCAAAGATCTTGTTTTGCTTCTGTTAATGATTCATTACTTTGTAACACCAATATCATATTTTTTAACAATTCTGAACCTGATTCATTAAATTCTGATCGTTCATTTTTAGATTCAAGTTCATATAATTTTGCAAAATTTTCTAATAAACTCATCCAGACAATTTCAGTTTCATTATCCTTAAAATCATCAATATGCTTTAAAAATACTTTACTAACCAATGAAAATGAATCAAATTGCGTTTTGGAAAATCCATTAATATCAGTTTGGATTATGTCTAATTTGGTCAATTCAGTTAATAATGGGAGTAATCCATATTCAAAAATCCCAAAGGCAGATATATCATCATTATTCTCGAGGGACAAGGATATTGTTTGGAGTGATTTCACAGCAAAGTCTCGGACCTCGCGACAAGGATTAAAACATTGATGAGCTAAGGCTTGCAAAAGAGAATATGACATTCCCTTTTCACTAAATTCTTCTCGTCTTACGATTGGACCCAATTCTGAAGTTAACTTGATAGATCTTTTCGAAAGCTGGACCAAATCTTTAAAATATGTATTATCAATCAGTGGATTTCCCAATTTATCATTCTCTTGTTCAAATTGGGATCCAATTGCTCCCAAGGACGATATCTCATCCAACAACCCCAATACAGAAACATAATTCTGGGGAGTAATATCTCCAGATGCATTTAATATAATACCTTCAACAAACTGAAGAACATCATTGGCATATATTTGAATAGACCCAAATAATCTTAAAGACTTCCAGTATTCTTCCTCATTAAGAAGAGATTTACAACACCATGAGTCATCGTCAACTAAAGATAATAACGGTTGAAGTATTTGTGAACCTTGTTTGCTAATCATTTCTTTATCAAATGTTTCCAAAGATTTAATCGTTGGTACCAACATATCTGTTCCTTCACTATATCTAATCAACAATAATTTGTATGTCACTAATCTTAATTGTCCCTTTTTGGATATCTCTTGAGGATCAAGTTTGGCAAGAACTTTATCAATTAAAGACTTTTCATGCAATAACAAACAGAAGCACACACAAACCTCCAACAAGAATAACGTCTCTGTTTCATAAAATCTTTTTGTCTTTTCAGAATGTTCAGGTAAAGCATTCAATAATAATTCCACAAATAATTTCAAATCATCTGGTTCGCTTTTTGAAATGATCCCAAATATACCCGCAATATTAAGTGATTTAACACAATCAATTGTTGATAATGCTGATTCAATTTCCGAATCGGTAGGTTCTGGAGGTTCATCCGAATAGCCTTTCAAAAATGATGAAAATGTAGATAAAATACCTGAATTATTTAATGGTTTAGTCTTTTTGATAATAAAACGTGGTTTTACTTTAGGCAATGGAGGAAGCTTAATTTTCTTTTGGAATTCACTGAATAAATTAGGATTCACTAAACAATTTTCAAGTAATCTTAATATTATTTGTATAACTTTATTCCAAGATGCAGAAACTCGACAATCATTCTTTTTAATTAGTCTAAATAAAACAACCGCTGATAATTGTGCTTTGAAATCGCGACCAAACCATACTGCCAAATCACTAACTGTAATTTCTTCATTTTTCTTTTCAATCTTAATTTGAGTAATTGGGATTTCAGTACGTACAGTTTCATCATTGTTCAACATTTGTTGGATTGCCCCTGGATTCATCAAGGAACTTAATTCCGATAAAGAATCAATTAATTTATCTGTGAAGGTATCTAATCCATACTGTAAACAGATATTTGCAATTTTGTCAATCGAAGACATCAATCTAGTAATGATATGATCATCAGAAGCTTCTTTGAATACCCTAAATATCGTATCAATCAATTTTTCCACAATTGCCCCAAATAATTCTTTATCAAATTGGCATAATTCAACTTTACTAAAATCATATTCAGGTTGATGAGCAGCATTAAAATCTTGAGTTGAAACCATATTATTCCAAGCATCATCAAACCATTTTTCAGTTCCATGATGTTCTTCAGGCATGATAATTTCTCGATCTTTAATAGTCAGATATGTTTTTGAGACATACCATTCTGGGAAATCGCCACCATTATAAATACCCTGAATATTTCTTCTATAATCTTCAAAAGTCATTTGTTTTTTAACTTGTGGATTATGTAAATCAGTGTTCAACATAATAATTGAGTATGATAATATAAAAACAGCTTCGGCATCAGGTCTAACTTGTTCAAAATTCTCACTGGTTACACTACTTCGTTTGGAAGGAGTACTTGGGTGGGGCTCAGAAGTTGTATAACAACTAACATATTTGGTAGCAAATTGTTCAACCACTCTTGCAATCTGTTGGGATTCTCCAGGTAATCTAAAAGTTTTCAATAAGATTCTTAATGCTTCATCAACTCTTAAACCTGTAAAATCAAATAAATCTATAAAATGTCCAAATAATTCCGAATTACTTGGTTTTGTTAAAAATTCTCCCAACATTCTTTTATTTAATCTACCAGATTTTGAAAAGAAAAATTCAGCAACTTCACGTAAATCATTTTCATCTTTAATAAAACCTTCAGTTGCTAATGATTTAATCCCCTGCAGAGGTTTTTCATTTAAGATATCTGTACATCTAACAAATGCTGTTTTCTTTTTCCTTTTTTCAATTAGTTCATGTAATGGTAAAAGGTTTTTATTTTTCCCCAATGATTTGGCTCTTTCATTGGTACAATCAATAAATGATAAAATTCCTTCTAAACAAATTGGTGGAACGTTGTCAGTGGAAACTATTGCCGATTCTGGTAAAGCGAGTTTACATAAAAATTCCAAAATCTTAGTTGCTAAATCAGATTTTTCAAAATCACAGTCATAATCAATAAAAAGACTAGTGAAAAATACTGGAGATTTTGTCCATAATAAACTTAAAGATTCAATCAATAATTCTTTAGATTGTGGATTTCTAATGGAAATACTAGCTCCTTTGATATTTTCACTTTGATTTGTAATTGTCGATTCTGGCAAAATAGATTGGAAAATTAAAGATAACGATAATTCAAATTGTGGTTTTAATTGTGCACCTAATACAATTGCCATCGTTGTAAATAATTGAAGTGAAGCTTTTAAAAGTGCAGGTGAATCGGTAGTTGTTATAATTTGTAATGTATATTTTGAGATTGGATCGCATACTAAAGTCAATAATGCAGGATGCACAGCAATTACCAAACCAGATACTTCAATTGCGGTATTAATTAAGTTTAAAGCAAATACTCTTGTACTTTCCATATGTTGATATTGGTTTGAAGGAGAAATCATCGAGACTAATATTCCTAGAAATTCATTAATACAAACAATTCCATAGGATTCTTCAGTAAACTCTTCGGTATTATTTTCTTGATTGTTGCTGCTTTCCACTATTGCTTCCTTCTTATCTGCGGTTGCTGCTCCCACATCGAGTTCTTCCTGAGCCTCCACGGTCTGCTCTCTTGGTGTGTTTACACCAGATGGTTTCATATCAGTACCACCAATAATATCTTCCGGTAATTTTGTTTCTGAAAAATCCGTTTTTAATTCATCAACAAATTCAGTTTCTGGTTCAATATCTTTTAATTTACTGAAAATTTTAATTGTAATTGAAACCATTGCCATTTCAGCAGCTCTTCTTAATACTTCACTTCTTTTTTTATTACATGCCAAAGACAAACAGGTTTGAACTACTTCTGAAATTACTTCATTTGGTAATAATTCTGACAAATGACTTTGAATGATTTCTTCTAATAATCTTAAAACTTTAAGTAATATAGCATCATCAGTATTTTGATCAGCAGCTTCAAAACGACAATGAGTTAATGAAGAAATTATTTGAATTAATGAATTTTGCAAATTTTTTGATCTAAGGGAAATTATTTCATACCTTAAGAATTTTGAAATTGCAGTTAATGATAATCCAGTTATATAACCTGAAGTTGAAGATGATTTAATAACCATTAAGAAAGGTTGTAATAATGTCAAGCTATCAATATCATCTACACTTGTAGCTTCACAAAGGATTGATTTCAATTGTAAAAAGGAAGCTAATAACGGATTGTCATGAGAAGAAGAAGATCTATGAGCAGTAGATGATCTTCCTCCAATTGGCGTTCCTTGTCTTGAATAGTCTCCTCCTCGACTATTTTCATTACTACTTTTACCATTTGGATGAACACTTGAAGTAATACCTAAACTGCTTATTAATCCATCATCATCATCATCCCCATTATTACTACCAAATATATCACCAGCAGCTAAAATTGCCGCAACGCCACTTTGAGACCATCTATTCATTTTTCTCATAGCAGAAGCCATTGCCATACATTCGTTTATTACTAATGTAGTTGGATCCATACTAATGAATGGATAAGATCTAGGATAAGCAATAAAACTAGAAGTTGTCGTGATTTGACGTCTTGACATTAATGATGAAGACATTGGACGTGAAGTTATTGGAGAATCTTTAAATGAATTGATCATCTTGTATCTTCTTCCTTTTCTTCTACCTTCTTCTTTCTAAATAAACACAGTTAAATAAGATCTGATGTTATAATAATTAATTGTCTTTAGTAATTAATAAAGAAAAGATCAAATTGCTGAGTGGTAAAATAATTATTCGTGTTCAGTTTAAGATTTTTTCTGTCGCTGTTTCTATTTAAAGTATTTCAAATATTAACACATGAAAAGATATTCTATTAAAAGAATAAAAGTATACAAAAGTAACTCTATTTACAAAACGATAAGTTATAGGGAAAGGAAATATCATCCTTCCGGCTTCAATGAGGTTTTCTAGCCGAGTCAATTTTGGCTGTGTTACTATAGAAATTGGTTCATCTCAAGAACTAATTGGAAAAGATCACGCCGATTGATGGTGCCCCTGGCTTTATCCAATGGAAGGGTTATATACTTCTTTGATAATAACTCTTAAATGAAGTCCAAGGCAATCTCCATTCCTTTTGTTGTAATTTTTGATGGAAAACATCAAAATCATATTTTTCTAACTTATTTAAATATAAAGTAGTTGGAATTGAAACCATAAATGGAGTGAATATAACATCAGGTATATTCTTTCTCCATTTTTTACTACTTTTAATTAACAATTGATCATTTGGATGTTGATTTAAGATTTCTTTTATTTCATTCTTAGATTTCAAAAGTTTATCTCTTGCTGTTAAAATATGATCATTGGCAACTATTGCAGTTTCATAAACAACATTCTTTAATTTCTCTCTTATATCTTGTTGTTGTTGTTTATCTTGAATATGTCCTTGACATAATCTTAATACCGACTCTTGTGATAATTCAAATTTTGTCATTAAATCAATTGGTAATATAATTTGATTCCTCTTTGATGCATAATAATTTAATCCTAAAATCATAGAACCAATTGCTGTTGCTTGTCCAATATGAGCAGCAATATCACTTATTTTTGATTGTAAATCAGGTGAATACTCAAGTAGTTTAATAGCACTTGGTGATATACTCGGTGATAATAATAACCCTTGGGTTAAATAATTCAATTGCGAATAAGTACCTTCACCATAACTACAAATATCATTTACGCTATTAAAATTACCACCAGTTTTAAGGAAATGTTGACGAGTTGATAAAAATTGGTTAAAATAAGTTATATCCAAATTTAAATCATTCCTAAGAGCATCTCTTAACAAAATTGCAATTGGTTCTCCAATATCTTTATCATCATTATATTCAATAAAGATTTTATTAAGTAAATCTTGCCAAAATTTAAATTTCAAATCTGATGTGGAAACTCCTAATCTATTAGACATTTGTATTGAAGCTTTAGATGCAATAGATCCCATATTCTTACCACCAACATTAATCTTATTGATTTCAAGATTAAATGCTCTAATTGCTAAAAATGCATTTCTGGTTGGTTCAGGAATATATTGAGCTAAGATATAAGATGATCTATCATTCTTTTCTAATAATTGATTAATATTCTCTTGAGCATTATGTAAAAGCAATTCATAATTATTACCAGTTGAATAGAATCTGTTAACACTACCCTGTAATAGTATCCTCCTTCTAAGCATTTTTCAATATATAAAACCTTATCAATCCCAAATCTCATTCCATAATGTTTCCATTTTTTTAATTGCTAAATTTTTTTTCTTGACTCTTTCGGAATTTTTCACTTTCATCTTCACATCTTCACGTCATCATTCATTATCACCATTCATACCTTGTATATAGCAAACCCCTGTCACAATGAAAATAGAACATATCAGACCTCATGCCTATATGGATATAGTCATTAATGATACCAAATTAGGTAGAATAGTGTTTGAATTATATGATGATCTTGCACCCAAATCCACCGAGAATTTTCTCAACTTATGCAACACAACATCCGACAACCCTTCTTACAAGGACAATATCTTTCATCGTGTTATAAAAAACTTTGTAATTCAAGCAGGCGATATTGAAAATGGTCACAACCAATCAATTAATCAAAATCTGATCGGAAAAGGCAACATATCTACCATTGGTCCAATACCAGGGGAAAACTTATCCGAGCCATTAGATGAACCATTTAAATTATGTATGGCAAATGTCGACGGAGATGTCAATACAAATGGATCGCAATTCTTCATAACCACATATCCACAACCCCATCTAACCGGCAAACATTCCGTATTTGGTCGAGTCATACATGGGAAATCCGTGGTACGTGAAATTGAACAAATGAAAACCAATAAAGAATACATGCCTTTGGATAAGGTTATAATTGCCGATTGTGGGGAATGGAAAGAAGGAATGGAGATCCCGATCTTTAATGCCAGTTATGATACCCGTGGTGGAGATATATATGAGGAATATCCCGATGATGATGGACATATTGATAAGGAATCATCCGAATCGGTTTATTTAGCATCTGAACGGATTAAAGAAAGTGGAACTTTGTTGTTCAAAGCTGGTGAAAAACAACAAGCGTTTTTGAAATATAGGAAATGTCTTAGATACGTTATGGAATATATCCCCGATGAAGATCAAGAACCAGAATGGTTTAAAAAGTATTTGGAATTGAAGAAGAAAATATATTTGAATCTTAGTTTGGTTTGTTTACAATTGAAAGATTATCCCAAAGCAATAAATTATTGTACTTATTTGTTGGATATGACAAATATTTCTGATCCAGAAAGGGCAAAAGCATATTTCCGAAGGGGTTCATCCTATATCGACACAAGAAAATATAAACAAGCAATCGATGATCTTCAACATGCAAACAACTTGATACCCGAAGATAAATTGATTATCCAAGCAAAGGATAAAGCTGAAAAGTTATTGGAACAACAAAAGGCTCAAGAAAGAGCCAAATATTCTAAATTTTTCGGTTAATCCAACGGAAAGTTGTAATATAATATGTATATATACTAGAACTTTATTAGCTTCCCTAAATACACTATCTACATATAAAATAAATACACAAAAATCAAAATGCCATGCAACACCAACATCAAACTACTAATCAGAAATCGAGTCGTCATTATTATTATTATTGCTGCTTCCCGCTGCCTCTTCATTTATACCGCGATTCTCGCTGCTACTACCACTTGCATCTTCCATAGGCTCATCTCTTGACGACATTGGAGAGTCATTAAATAAATTCCTCAATTCCACCCCATGTAAAAGCAGTGAATAATCATTATCATTATTATTACCATCATCACTATTCTGATGAAGCGTTGTAGTTACATCACCACCACTTTCAGTTCTTCTACTGGACACCCCACTAGGAAATAATGACGCCTGTGAAGAAGGTTGGATTATTCCTGGATCTCGTTGTGCTCTTCTTTGTCTTCTCAAGAATCCAATCACATGTGATAATGGCTCATTAGGGGAATTATCTTCTTGCCAAACAGTCCCCCCTGACGGTCTAACAAATCTTCTAATTGGAGTTGTTGTTGTGCCTGATGAAGATGGTGAAGGGTGATCAATTCCAAAGTGATGAAGATCGGTTGGAGATGTTGGTGTTCCCGGTGGCGGTGATTGGGTTGAAACTGTTCTAACTGGATGGGGTGCCATAGGAGTAATCACAGGGTGAGGTGGTTGTGGGATACCAGTAGTTGGTTGTGTGGCAGTAGTTGGGGTAGCCGCAGCAGTAGGTACCGGTTCATTCACAGGTTCGTCATGAATGTTATTTTGAATAGTTATATTAGTAAATGGACTGGCTACATTCACAGGCGACTCAGTTGGAATAGTAAATATTGTCAAAGTCAGTGGATGTTGATTCTGTTGTCTTCTCCTTCTAGCGGCCGATGCTGATGCTGCCGAAGCTGCAGCTGCTTCTTGTTCATCTTGTTCTTGGACGGAAAACCTACATAACGGACAGGTAGCATGTCCTTTTAACCATTCACATAAACAATCTTTCCCAAATATATGTCCACATGGCATTTTGACCGGGATATGACCAAAATCTTCCGAATATTCAGAAAGAAAAATCGGTCCTTGTTGTTCAGTTTGTGTAGAAGAATCATCCGGACGAATGTTTGAAGAAGTTGCCGTACTTAAACCAGTCAGATCTGCCAAACGTCTCTTTTTATGAGAAACTGTATGATCTGACATATCTTGATCATCTACTTGTTCCTCCTCTTTCAATGCATCAAATAATTCAAAACAAATTGAACATGTTTTACTCTCACCCAAATCTTCTAATTTAACCCCTGGGAATGATGTGAATGTTTTTACCGTGATTCCGGATTGTGTACTTAATCCAGTTAATATTGAACTATATGCCATTTGAGTTGCCAATCTTATGAATTCTTGAATTACTCGTGGATCTCTATTTGATGCATTGTTGGGTAACGACATAACTAATGATCCGGCCCGGTTGGGGTTATTTGGTTGGTTTTGATCTGAAAATACATAATTCACTGTTATTATGATTGCCTGATTAGGGTCATCTTCAGTATTTATTGTTTGACTTTCTTCTGAATCCATGGCATCGGCGGGAGCAGTTGACGGCTGAGAAGTTGTTGGTTGAGATGCAGGTGGTTGTTCTTGGTTTTGTTGTTGTTGCTGTTCCATATTGACATTCGCTGAATCTCCAGAAGGTTGCTGTGACTGTTGTTCTGTCTGTTGTCGTTGTGGTCTATTTAGCCTTCGTTGGGCCAGAAGTAATGTATCTAAAATCCGATCAAAAAGTCTTACTTCTCGTCTTTGAGGATTGCCGTTATTGTCGGTAGTGTCATTGGTATTATTATTATCGTTGTTGTTGTTGTCAGTGTAGTTATTACTATCTCTATTATTGTTAGGGGTTGACATTAATTAATACAATTAACCTTAAAAGGAAAAAGAACTAAAATTGGAATAAGTTTATAATTCCCGAAATAATTGATCTTAAATTACTTATTAATAATCAGAGCCAAAAAAAAAATTGTGTCCTTTTCTTCTTTTTCCGGTGNAAATTACTTATTAATAATCAGAGCCAAAAAAAAAATTGTGTCCTTTTCTTCTTTTTCCGGTGAGTGTGGAAAATTAATTGGTCATGAATATTTATTAAGTGTATGATGTAATTAATGACTTTAAAAGGATAATCCTTGGTACTTCTTCTAGAGAAGTCTATAGATAAGGAGAGTCACTAAGAGAGTCTATGAAGAGATAGGCTAAGCAGTGTATGTTGTAGTGTACTCTTGATAAGAACAAGGTTGTCATTTATTGTCTTGTGGGCTGTGGATTCAAAGAGTGGGGCAGCCAAATGTCAATCTAATCAGTCTTGGCCGATAGAATGTTCTAGAAGATTCCATACAAGGTCATTTATCAAATACTTGTACTGTACATACAATAGATCAGATATAACTCATCATCATATAATTAATCTTCACTCTCTTTGCTTGCTGGTCTATCCCAGCTGTGTAGACATCTATTAAATTAAATTCACTATAAATAAACCCAAGGCAATGTAAATTAATCTATTAGAGATTTGATTTCTATTTCCCAATGACTCTTTCTTTTCAGAATTACTATCATCTTCTTTAATCTCGACTTCCTCTTCATCTATAGAAGATGCCGGCCCCACAATCTCAATATTCTCTTTGTCAGTATAATTAACTGGTGCCAACATAATCTTATGATCTTCTAAATCAAATACCAAATATATACTTCTTAAAATATTATCACCAAATATTGCTAAACCATTTATCCTTTCTTGAGGAAATATCCCAAGTTTACAACTCCCATCAGTATTCCTAATCAATAAATCAAAGACTGGTATATTTATCCAACGACCCTGGAAACCAATTTGTAAAGTTATTGAAGGATCTATTCCACAATTTATTTCATAATCCCCATTATCCATTTTGATTCCATTTAATGCTATTCCTATTGAGTCGACTAATTGTTGTGGGAGGAAACTGTAACTTGCACCAGTATCAAAAAGAACTTCAAATGGTGGAATTGAGATCGGTATATTATTATATACAGATTTTGATATTTGGAATTGATCAACCATGGACATTAATCTAGCTAACCCCCCTTTACGATTAGTTATATTCAACGTAATTAGCTCCCCCTGATATTTCGCATGATCAATAGCACCAAACAATAACGACCCCGCAATAGCATCTCTTGAGTTCATATACACGGAGTAAACATTCTTTTGAATAATCCCCTGATTCCTTAATTTCAACGGTAAATTCTCATAAGAATATCCATATTTCATAGTTGTTTGTCCTTGAGGATATCCAATTCCCAAAATCCCAATAGTTGAGGATGTTTCATTCACAACTGCAAATGATAAATCCTCAATCAATTGATTTCCAACCATTACCTCATCATGACCCCAGATTCCAATTGCTTTTGATCCATCAACATAATTGATCTGAAAACCAGGGGCAGTTTTATTTTGCTTAAATGTATTGGAATAATGATGATCGAATGATCCAAGATTTGTACATGTACTAGGACGGTTGGCAGTACAATTAACATCTTGCTGCATGACCCATAGATCTGATGAACCAGTATCGACTGCAACTTTGATTGTTTCGTGGTTGGAACCGATTTGTAATTCGGCAAGATAACGAATTTGAAGGTTTTGGATATTCATTGAAAATTCACCGGCATTTTGTCTTTTGTTTAATCGGGGTGATGGTTGAAATCTTTCAACCAGAAAGTCTAGTTTGAATGGTGGATCCTCGTGTTCGTCTCGTAGTTGAGATAGGACTGGTAAAAGTTGCAAAATAAAGTAAACCAAAATTAAAATCATAATTTCTTTGGACGGCTAATAATAAACAACGCATAGTTCTGCAAAACTCTGCAAATCCCATTATATAAATAAAGCATTAACTCATCTCTGACATAATTTGCAATAACGATTTTGCAATTAAGTAATAAAATGATACATGATCTGACTTATTTTTCCGGAAGAATATTTTTTTTGCTGAAGTTTTTCCGACTTCCATACTGCAGGTTAAGCCTAAATCTTCTATGCATAAAAAATAATCATGACTCGGCATCAAGTCATACGTTATAGTCATGCTGACAGAACTTGGACACTCACGTCTCTTCTGCACTATAGAAGATGTATCTATACTCGCATATTACTAGGGACCGATCCAGTTAACATGTTAAATGTTTTGGGTGATCGATAGGAGATTATTTCAATGAAAATAAGGGTCCGAGAGTAAGTTCAAAATTGGGAAAAAGAAACGACTTTAAATTATTTAGCTAGATACTATGTAAATTGCTACAAGATATGTGCTACGCATATCAATGGAGCCACGTTTAATAGATTATATAGCCATTTACGGTTTTCTAAATACTTTCCACTAGTCAAAATAAAAGATTGCAAACCCAAAAAAAATCATGCAATTAAACAAAAAATCATTCCTCGTAATTGTATATTCTAAATCCAACTAGAACATTTACATTAATAATGAAACCAAAATGCTAATAATGATAATACAAATAGCGTTAGATGTAATACGTGATCCTGAAGATTTGTTGTTGCTATTACTATTGCTGCTGCTGCTACTGCCACTGCTGCTGCTGCTACTACTACTACTACTGCTAGTACCAGACGAACCAGAAGTTGGAACACTATCTGTAATAACTTCAATATCTTCATTATCAGTAAAATTGACTTGTGCAATTGAAACTTCATAATCATCAAGATCAAAAACCACATAAGCATTTCTTAAAATATTATCACCAAATAACATATATGGTGAACTTGACGATTGAGCTAAAATACCCAATACACATTGATTTGTCGAAACTTGTAATATTAAATCAGTCAAAGGGACAGTAATTGTGTTAGAACCAAATTGAATCTGTAATGCTACACTACTAGGAACACTACATGAAACCACATATGCTCCAATTTGTTGTGAATATGTCCCACCTAAAGCTGTCCCTATAGCAGTTAATACACTAGGGTAAACATATGATAAAGTTGAACCTGAATCCAAAACGACAGTATTGGCAGTAGACATTGCTGAAATGGTTTGAGATCCAGATGTTATATTGATTGAATTTACTTTAACTTGAAGTCTTACTGGTTGTGAAAATCCAGTTGTTTTTACAATTGGTAAAGTGACTAAATTCCCTTGATATTTTGCATGATCAATTGCACCAAATAATATTGTACCTGAATCAGTACTCATATCATTTAAATATAATGAAAAAACATTTTTATTAATTAATCCTTGAGATTTCATTTTTAATGGTAAATTTTCATAAGTGATTCCAAATTGATTTGTAGTTTCTAATCCTGGTAATCCAATACCTAAAACACTTACATCTGAAGAACTTTTGTTAGCAATTGCAAATGATAAATCATTAATTTGAACATCACCAATCACGACATTATCATGACCCCAAATACCAACAGCTTCAGTACCATCAGCATATTCTATTTGAAAGAATGGGATTGAAGAATTTTGTTTAAAAGAAGTTGAATCTTCAGTTGTAAAAGAACCTAATGAAGTACAATCGTTTCTATTATCTGTGTTACCACCACCAGGAGCAGGAGCTAAAGTACCGGGAGCTTGTGATACTATTACAGTTGAAACTATATATTCAAGTTTTTCATGGATTGTTTTTGTAGGAGGTGGCGGAGGTTTCACTTCTTCTTCTTCTTGTCTTTTCTGGAAAAGTCTTCGTATTACCCCTGTTCCTAAACCGAAAAATACATCACGTGGTTGTGATTGATGTTTATTATTATCTCTTTTTTGATTCAGAGTACTTTCAGCAAAACAATCAACATCATGAGACATGACCCATAAATCAGAAGAACCAGTATCAACTAATACCCCTACTTGATTTTTATTAGAACCAATTTCTAAAACCGCTTCATAAAATGTTTGTTTATTATTTATAGTCATTTCAACTGAACCATCAGGAGTATCTCTTTTAATTAATTTTGGCATTGAATCATGCCTTGGGGATAAATTATCTCTTGAATCTCCTCTACGAACATTGAAATCTATTCTATGAGCACCAGGTATTGTATTTTGATTCTTTGCAGTTGTGAATATTAATAAGCTAGATAATATAAATATAATCAGTTTTATATGCATTGTTGTTGTGTTGTGATGTGTTGTAACTTGTAAATCTATAAATGGGTAAATATTTTTATAATAAAATTCTGCCAATTGATTGTGGAGAAGAATTTGAAGGAATATGGTTGGTTTATATAAAAAGGAGTTAAAACGTCTTTTCAAATTAACAATGAGAAGACTTACAGCGAACTGTAAATAATAATACTAAATAAAATGAAAGGAAGTGAATGACGTTTTGATTAATAATTTGCTGTATTACCTTTTATTTTATGTAAACTCAGCCTTGGTTTTTTTTTACATTTTAGATTATTTTTTTTTTTTAAATTTATTTATTTATTACGCAAAATTAAAAAAAAATATTGTTTTAACCGACTGAACATTTATTATTCTCTTGTCGTTTGTATATAATTCTCATATTCATAGCCACACTTTGAATTAATTGGCATTTTATCAAATTAATCAGAGATAAACTGTATACTCACTTGTAAGCGAATAGAAGAACAATTAAAAACTGACATTTCAGATTGTTCATCTCATCTCAAATTTAAAACAATGAATTTTTCCAATGTTGGAGAATAAAATTATTTTAAATTTAAACATTAAATTTAAAAAAATAAAAAAAAAAATAATAATTTCCCTAAGTGTTTTTTTTCTATTAAAAAAAAGAATTACGTAATTGAAATTGATTATTTAGATATTTAAATATTACAGATCTATATTGCTCATCTTTACCCTTCTATTACGACTGTTAAATGACCTTTGACT